CACAGCCACACCCCACACCCACTCCCACATCCCCATCCCACACCCACTCCCACATCCCCATCCCCATCCCACACCCACAGCCACTGCCACACCCACACCCACATCTACACCCTTAAAGACTTCTCTCAAACAGGATTCTTGGTCAGCGTTGGATTATACAAAAGGACAAAATAACCTGTTCCTCTTAATATCAAGATTTCGATGAATATATGAATATGCTTATTTTTTTATACATTTCTTTTGCAATATATGATTAAAGCCGTGACTGCTCCTGTTCACATCATCCAAAGCACGGAGTTAGACTTTATCAAATCGGTTTCGGGTGTTACAAATCTCTGTTAGATTTATTTGAGAAAAAGTAAGTACTCTAGATTACACTATAATTTACAAACTAGAAAAAAGCGAACTATTTAAACGATAAATCATACCGAAATCTTCACAGATAATGCCAAGACTAGAATTTCGAATCTCTGAACAACAATCTATTTGTATACCTGTACCTTTAATTTCCCACTTCATAACATCACATATAGTATTCCTATCTGCTACACCTACCATTGCTATATAGTTAGTGTAATATAAATTATCGATATAAGTTTATATCTGAGAATGATTCAATTTTTCATATCATGTACGATATGGCCTTTGTCAAAAAAAAAAATCAGCAAAACATGAAAACAACACATTATCTTCAATGTAAAATGGCAATAATGAATTTACTTTCCTTTTCAGTTGATCATCAACACAATAAGAAATAGCATGAAAGCCTTTCAAATGATCAACTGCAATATATATATATCTTTCTAAGTATGTGAGATTCGATCAATATATAAGCTGGTTATTCCAGCTGTGTTTCTCATAGTTTTTCGGGTGATGAATGTGTAAAAATAACTAGCGTCATTTATGAACGATTATCATTCCCAATATGCCATGTATGTAATATATATTTCATGCGTGATTCTGCCAAGTTTTTAAAAAGGTAACAAAAATTTGCATCTAACTATAAATAAGAAATCTCGAAGAATGTTGATTAATCGATATTAATGAGAGTTCATATCACATAATGACAAGGCAAAAAATAACTCTGTTCGGCGGTAAGGTAAAAGTATCATGATCAGAAGACGAGACAGTGAATCAAGAGGAGAGAAAGAAAAGAAGAAAGACAACAACAAAAAATGAGGATCGATTTTCGGCAGTATTTTTGCTTCTCTTTCTTTTCTTCTTTTTATCGCTTAGTTTTCTTTTTTTGGGCATGTTTTTGTGTTCTATCACTAAATCAACAAGACTTTTTGCCTTGTCATTGCCTGATGTTGACATATTGGGAATCAATACATAGCTACAAATAAAAATGCATGTATTTTGTCAGAACAGTAGAAATGATGTGCTTTTCATTCTTATGGAAGATATTTAGCTAAGACACAGGTAATTATATAGTTTAAGCTTCATTCTTCGCCAACACGTCAGTTCTAATAACTATTCCCAAAAACATTTGAGTCTTGTTTGTGAGTTGACTTTGTGTAACTATTCTAGATTAAATCTCAAGTTATTACTTGGCATAAATCTTTTATAGATCTTTGAAAACTACGAGCGAATAATATCTTTTCATATTATTAAATAATTAGCAATATTCTTTTTTACTAGAAAAGATGAGATATTTCTTAGTAGTTTTCTTCAATTTTTCATATAAAAAGAAGTGTGCGAGTACTATTTTTGCTGAATAAGCTCTGTAACAGTTTATCGATTTCTATCTAATCATCTGGAAATACTTGTGTAATAATATTTTCAGAGCTTTTTGATTACTCATACTTAATAATAATACTTTTTTTGCGAATGTCAGATGGAAATGTTTAGCAACATTTATTAAGATAATTTTAACTTTTCACAATTTTTATCGTAATCAAGTACTTTTTTATCAGATCATAGCTGTAATTTTTCTCTGAAACTCTATACTTTCGTCAGCTAATCAAATCTGTACTTGATATGTATAACAGCTATTTATCAGAAGGAGTTATATAATCTGAGTGTTATTGGAAAATTATTATCTCAAGTAATTTCCTGAACAAAACATCAAATATAGGCTTTTTTAACAAAAGCATCCTGTTATGCGAACAGTTTTCGATCTGTACTTAAAAATGATAGGAAATCTTTCCATGAAAGCACTTTCGAATTTTGGCATTATACTCTACTAATAGTACTATCAAGTATTCATTAAAATTCTTTTTCTATTTGAATTTCTATTAGTATTTTTACTTCAAAATCTAAATATTAGAAATATTTGCATTTTTCGCAATGAAATTCTGTCAGAGCAAATTATCTCATAGCCTTTGAGTATCTCTAAGGAAATAAGATGTCTCAATTATTTTTTTCTTGAGATGACAAGAAAGGTAGTCGAACCATTCATATAACAAAAAGAAACATCTAAACTTTTGCAATCGAGAGTATGACCCTATCACTGGATGGCATAAATGTCAAAGATAATGATTGCTGAATGATGTTTTGCGTATACATTCGTAAATATAAAGTTGTAGAAGTAGATTTTGTATATGCACATAGAATCTTGTGTAAATATTTGAAAACTCATGTAATCGATTACCTTAACTATTTAAATTTGTCTTAATAATTAGGCCTAGTTTAAAGGTGGTTTCCTAAAAGTTCGTCACCAGAGACAAATATGATTGACTAGCAATTAGAATTGAATGATTTTTGTTAATGATAAAATTACATGTAAGAACAACTGATCCACCTTAGAAATTAAGCGTACACTCCTCGACACATTATATGAATTGGTTTGGATAAATGAAGCAGAAGAAATTTTAAAAGATCTCAAGAAATTGTTTTTTTTTAATCCATTGTAATTTATTAATTTTTTAACATTTATGTCCATAATAATATCTAATTTCAGTATGGATAATTGTTTACTTTCGTCATCATAGCGATGTGCCAATTCCGAGTTAGAAAAAAAACCTAGAGAAACATCAAAGCAGATTGAAGAGTCTATTTAAAAATGTGTTTCTTGATTGAAGACATATGGTGAAGACACTTTAGTGCCTTGTACAACTAACTTCGAAAAAATTCTTTAAGTTCTCTATGCCAAAAAAATCTCTTATGGCCATAGGATCTAATTGATGCAGTACACATTTATATAGATCATACATCAAGAGATCCTTCTAAAAAAGGAACATATTGAGTGAAATCCTGTTGTGTTTTAATTAAAAAGCTTGTTCGTCTTGGCACTTTCTTCTAGAAATTCAGAAACTTTTTTTTTATAAATAAAACATCCTTTTCATAATTAAAGAAAATAGACCTTCAGGTACATAATTCGAGGTTTTTTCTATTTCACTATTCCTTGTGAGCCTGCGAATACGTTGCTTTTGGCAAAAATATCTAAGGACGTTTTTCAAAATAGACGCAAAAATCACTAATTATGTGTTCAACTACTACTTTTCTATAAACTATATCTTCTCAGACTATCTGCATTTCACTGTGAGAAAATTTCATTGGTACTATTCAAACTTCAATATAAGCAACTGACTTAAATAGATTTCACAAAAAAAACGAAATTTAGTTGTCTTTTTTCAGGTATTTAGCTAATGGCAAAGTTAAAGGTTGCCAGTAATAAACCCTATTCTTTATCTTTCATAAATGGCATGATCAATACTATTTTAATTCTAATACTTGAAAATACTTCTTTAAACATAACTGAATGAAAATAAAATTAAAATTTGTAGAATATTTTTTTCTTTTCAAACATTGAGCAAGTCCATATTTTAAATGGGTGAAAAATTATTTTTATCGAAAAATAGTATTAATATGTTATAAACACCCCTGCCAGTATTTTTCCTGAATCAGCAAACAATTCATCCTGAAATTAAGTTGTCAATCCGAAATGATTTCTCTTATATTGCTAGAGTGTATGGCTAAAAAACCTGACAAATTCATCCTCATCTACACCGAATGAGAGTTTGGCAAGTCTTCAAAATTTTATGGTGTCAAGTTTCTTGAAATTTTAGATATTAAATTTCTTAAAATCTTTGCCAAGACAATCATGACACAGATGCCTACTCGTAAATTGAGTCGTAATGGGCCTGAAGTATCAGCGGTTGGCTTTGGTGCAATGGGTCTGTCAGCATTTTATGGTAGCGTTGCTTCTGACGAAGAACGATTCAAGGTTCTCGATCGAGTAATCGAGCTCGGTATTATATACATCGACAGTTCCGATATCTATGGTGATAGCGAAGATTTAATTGGGAAATATTTCAAGAAATATCCGCATCAACGTCAAAAGGTGTGTTTACAACATTTCTATTACTTTATATTGATAAAGGAATCTAGATTTCTGCCAGTACTTCGTAACATTGCGAAGTATGAAAATTGAAAATTAGAACAAGTGAAACTTTAAACTGATAAAAGAAAATCGTAAAAAAGCAATATTGATTGCATTAGTTAGGAAAGATAATAAAATTAATTGTACTAAGATCGTCCCTTTATCGAGCTCTCTGAAAATTACTTGATCTTTTCAATCAACTCTAGAATAATAACTTGATCTCATGCATGTGAAATGACCGAATTTGATCATAACGTTTGAATTAATATTTGGAGAGTGTCTGATTTCTAGATAATCTAAAAAAGTCAGTAACTTAAAAGATTAAATCTATGAAAAACATGAAAATGACAAAAGATTGACAGAAAAGTCTCCATCTGATGAGAAATTACTGTCCTTAGGAAATCCTTCCCTTGAGATGGAGGTCTTGTCGAATTTTTATTATCATCGAGACAGACATGAAGTCCAAAGATTATTGTCTGTCTCCGAATTGTTGGAGTCTTCTACTTTCCAGTAGCGTGCCAATGACCATCGAGGTTAACTACTATTAAATGCTTCGAATATAATAAAGAAACGCATTGAACATAGAACATATAGTGTTATGCACTAGATGAGTAATTTCTGCTCCCATCTGTGGAATCTAGAACATATTTTTTTATTAATAGGTATTGATTGCTACCAAGTTCGGTCTCGCACCTTCTTCGGATAAAAGCCGCTCTGTGCGAGGAGATCGTGAATTTATTCGTCAGTCATGTGCAAACAGTCTTCAGCGTCTCGGTATCGACTCGATCGATCTGTATTATGCTCATCGAATCGACAAAACTACTCCAATTGAAGAAACTATGGCTGCATTGAAAGAGCTTGTCAACGAAGGCAAGATCAAATACGTCGGATTGTGTGAATGTTCTAGTAATACTATACGGCGTGCTCATGCTGTTTATCCACTGTCGGCCGTACAAATCGAATATTCCCCGTTCAGCTTGGAAATCGAACATGAAGATATTGCTGTACTGAAAACATGTCGAGAACTTGGTATAACAATTTTCTGTTATTCACCATTAGGTCGTGGCATACTTACCGGTCAAATAAAAAGTCCAGATGATTTCGACGATGGTGATTTTCGTAAGCGTTGTCCACGTTTTTCAAAAGAAAACTTTCCTAAGAATCTACAGTTAGTCGAAACACTCTCGGTCCTGGCGAAGAAAAAGGGTTGCACTACCGGTCAAATAACATTAGCATGGATTCTTGCACAAGGTAATGATTTCATCCCAATACCAGGCACAACAAAAATCAAAAATTTGGAAGAGAATGCGGCAGCAGCACTGATCAACTTAAGTAACGAAGAAGAAAGAGAAATTCGAAATGCCTGCGAAAAAGCCGATGTGGCAGGGGAACGGTATGCGGATGGACTAGATGGAAGT